ATATAATTTTTATTTTTTAAGTGCTGTTCTTTTGAACTTTGTTCATGAAATTTGATTACATTTCTATTTTGATCAAAGAAAGTTTTCTTGTTCACTTCCTGTGAAATTATATATTGATCATTTTGATTATATGCAATATGCTCCATATGATTTGAAATGATTTGATGGCTGAACACTATGTAAAGTCCACTTTGCACTGCACTTCTAGTCGATTGGAACATACCTTTTTGTCTCTTATTTTGCTCTTTGTTTAAAGTCCCTCTCTCTTTGTTTAAAGTTGCGCCCAGTAGTGCACAACACAACAAAATCTCCACAACACAATGGAAACAAACCACAACACAACGAAATTCGCACAACACAACAGAAACATGTCGCAACACAACAAAATTCGCACAACACAATGGAAACAAGCCACAGCGCTGTGAAATTAGCACAACACAATGAAATTGGTCCTATGCGTTGGGTTGTGGAGATTTTGTTGTGTTGTGCACTACTGGGCCACCGTACTCTCACTTTTTCTTACACTGTTGTAAACAAACCGTTCAGATTGCTTTCACTATAAAACACTCCATTTTGATTCAGCTCTCCTGATCTCTAATTTGCTCTGTATGACGGTGGGTTATGGGCACACTTGTGTGTACATATAAAGTAAACCGCTCTCGTGTGGTACAAGCAAGACATTTCCACATGCTCTCTATTAATGACCTGCTTTCGCAGAGATGGGATGCCCCCTCCTTTTTTAAATATAAAAATATCACTGTAGCTTGATGTTCTCTCACTCGCTTAGGATCTTGTGGCTTGTGGCCATCGGAACAGCACTGAACTGGTGTCTCACAAATGGCAGGCGAACCCGAGCACGGCTATTTACGCTCGAGGGCTTGAGATGGTCGAACTTTTTCCATAAGGGTCCACCACGTCACTGGTTTTGGAGGTACTCCAGCTCTGCTGCCTATGATTTTCTGTTCGCCTCTGGTCCCTTTTGCAGGTCCATCAGCTGATGCGTGCGGCACGTAGCGGAACGAAAGATGGCCTAGAGAAGACCAAAATCGCTGTGATGAGGAGAGTGTCATTCCTACATAAAAAGGACCATTCAGGTAATCTTAAGAATTTAGAATTTCATTTGAGAAATCTTCTTTCGAACACCCATCCTCACTCCTTTTCCTTTGATAGAAAAAATCCCATTCAGGAAAGAAGCAATTATACATTTTTAATGCTTTTTTGCTTTTAATGCTTTTTTCCCCTCAGATGAACAGGGCTGTTCATTAAATTAAGCTAGACTTCTTTACAGATGGCAGATGATCTGGCTGTCATGAGTCAGACACGGCAGAAAAAGGCTGATGGAGTCTAATACCTCTCAGTGCTTTCTTGTATTTTGCTTTTAAAAAGAAAATTGACTCTTGGAGGTTGGAGGCTGAAAAAAAGATGATGTGAAATATTTGGGAAGCTGAAAGGCAGTATAAATCAGACTGGGTCTTTAAAATAAAAGGTAGGGAGAAGAGCTGATGAGGGCATTTGGTGCACAGGAAAATTGGCTGGGATTGGTCCCATAATGCCCTGCTGCACAATGGGGAAAGATTACCTTTTGGAAGTGGAGACTGGCGCGATGCCTATTGAAATTGCACTCTAAATGAGGTACCACACTGCGTATAGTGCTAAACATTTTTATTTGGAGGTTCTTTTATTATTTTGAGATGCTGCAAAAACTTGTGTGAAGATTTTAAGCCTTTGGGAAAAGGTGCAAAATTGTATGTCAGATGGTTTTCCTTTGTAGTCGGGTGGATTGAAAGATTGTTTGGATGTGGCTTAGAACAGCTTGTTCTGTACTGAGTTTGCAATGTACTTTGAATGTACTTTTTTCTGTTTGAGCATCTCTTCCGAGTTGTAATAAGGTATATTCTTAGCTTTGCAGGGATATATGGTATGTTTGAACGTGTTTTTGTGTATCCTGACAGATGACACTGAGGATGATACAGGGTATCTGGATGTGATGGTATCAGAGGCAAAACACCCACCTGCACAACTGGGACCAATGCCAGATGGGCTTAGCAGCCTGCAGGTGTGTGTATATGTATTTATTGACGTTTTAAATTGAGTGTGTACATAGTCCATGCCAAAATATACACATTTGAGGGAACCCATCAATTTGGTAGTAAAATTTGTATCCCAACCAAAGTGAAGATCTTTTCTTTTCAAATTCATACTATGGGCCAGATTTACTAACAGCTTGCACCAGAGCAAACCGTCTTTTGGCGTTAAAAATGTACTGTCAGCACTTACTAAAGACATGCAGTGAAGAATTGGTGCTGAAAAGGCGTGGACGCAGTTATTTTTGGGCCTGACCTTATTGAATTTGCATTTGTAGGAGTTACCCTTTCAGCCGCAAAATGTATGTGAGGAGAGTATTCAAATGAATCACGCAACCAGATTTACTACTGTTTGTGCTCGTCAAATTACTGGTATTTGCGCCGTTATTTAACACCCCAAAAAAGCATGTCTTAAAGCAGGCGGTAATTTGCACTGCTCTTGGTAGATTGCGCTGGCCATTATGGAAATGATCTGACTGTGTCTGTGTTCTTTAATGTGCGCATTGATAGTAAATCAGCCACATAATTTTTCCCACTTTTATGGAATTGCGCTCTAATGCTAATTTTCCCTGTTTAGTAAATCTGGCCCTATGTCACTGTTTAATTTCTCAGTTGTCATGCTTATTGTGAAAGTTTTTCATCTTGTCCAAATTTAAATCAATATTGTAGACTTAACAAAATGAACTGTGGAAAGGCAAGAACACAGTTTAAAAACAAATTTGCTTGCTCAAATTAAGCGAGAAAATGTTTTGTATTATACAGGTTATATAGACATATACAAGACCTATACAAGAACTATATAGACATAGTTTAAGGACGGTAAGTTATTGTGCCACTAAATATAAATGTTGTATAATGCACATTAAAATACGTTGATCATCTATTTTATCTATAGATCGAATGCATCGATACATCTGTTAATATAAATCATGTAATTTAGATTTAAAGGGGTCATATGATGCTTTTTTAAAAGATCATTATTTTGTGTATTTGGTGTAACAGAATATGTTGACATGCTTTAATGTTCAAAAAACACATTATTTTTCAAATACTGTACATTATTGTAGGTCCTCTATGCCCCGCCTCTCTCAAATGCTTAGTTTTCTACAAAGTCCCTCCTTCCGACAAGCGCAGTCTGCTCTGATTGGCCAGCTGACCCAGTGCATTGTGATTGGCCGAACACCGCAAGCACTCGTCGGAAATGTAACGCCCCTTACCATAATCGCGAGCTTCATCTTTCAAAATAAATGGAAAGACAGAGCCGAGAGGGGAACAATACCTCTCTCTCTCTCGCTCGCGCGCACACACACACACCGCTCTCTCTCTCTCTCTCGCTCGCACACACACACACACGATGCGCAAAACTTACGCATTTGAACAGTCCATAGCAAATACTTAAACTAATAACAAAACAGTAGCTAAGCCTAATTTAAATTAGGTATGTTTTTTAACAAAACAGTAGCTGATTCAGAAGCATCAGATTGTCATAGCAAAGTCAGAATTACCTCCTCTCCTAGGTTCACGAAACGGTCGTCCATAAAATGCGTTGCTGTTCTGTTGTAAGTGATCTTAAAGATTTCTAAATGCATCTACTTACGGAAGGCCAAATAAAGTGCTTTTGCTTTCGCCTAGAAACACACAGCATCTCCCTGACATGCTGCATCAACACTAACTGCGGTTACTGAAACCACGCCTTCTTTCTTTGCGTGAACATTTGGGCGGCATTACACAAATATTTCCACATAGTGACGTAGATATGTGGGGGCGTGTTAGAACGAGCCGTTTTAGGGGGGCGTGGCAGAGTCTTAACTTTGATAAAGAATATCTCTTTGGTTTTGAGACTTTAGTCTTTGCAACTTCAGGGATCTTATCTATGCACAATCAGCTTGTAACACTCTAAAGAGAAAGGAAAACTTGAAATCGCATCATATGACCCCTTTAATGATAAATGACAGCTGTAATATAAATATTTACATAATAAATTATATAATTACTTAATTTACAAAATATATTTTTTGGATGGATTATTTACAATAGATATTGACTACTGTTCGAATAAATAATTTGATTCAGCAGTTGCACATTAAACTGATCAAAAGTGAAAGAAAAAAACATGCTTTATAATGTAAGAAATGTCTTGACCACAGATCGTCCGACGCCATGTTTTGGGCTCCATTGTGCAGAGTGAGAGGAGTTACCTGGACTCTCTTAAACGGATCCTACAGGTAAAATACTACTGCATCTGTCCCAAAAACAGCTGTGTTGGTGAAATTGTCGAAAAATAAAAAAGGTTTTGATAGGATTCAGTAGGGTCAATTTGCAAAGACAAAATGCTTTCACATAACAGTTTTAAAACCTTTGGTAAGTCTTAAGCGTCTTTTTTTTCTTCAGTGTGTGCTAACATCAAACTGAAACTCAATGCTTCGATACTTCATACTCAGATAAATTCAAAAATGTAGTTAAAATTCTAAAGTCAAATATTATTGCCACCTTTAATGTTTCTTAGAATGCTTGTTATATGTAAACGTTAGTCAAAATGTCCCTATTTTTGTCTCGATGACTGAACAACAAAAGTCATTGGAAGGATTCTAAATAATGTCAAGACGCTTCCTAATGTGAAAGCCCAGCTATTCAAAGCCTCAAAAAAAAAAAACGTTACACTACCACTTTTCTTTAATAATGAATTTGCCTTCACATTCCTTTAAATGGAAGCATGCAGGTCTGGTGGGTTTCATAGTGTGGAGTTTCATTACACATAATTCTGATCTCAGCTAGTGTTGGAGAGAGAAGCATTTGTTATCACACTCCTTTGAAGGCACAGGCACCGTCTAAAATTGAATCGCAGATCAATGACAGCTTTACGCTCTATGAAATCTAGTCATTCAGGATCTGTCTCCAAGCTTTGTTGTCAAATCAAAGCTCTGCCGGGTGTACTTTACAATTCCTGCTCTCTTTATAGCATGCTAGACATGGTCTAGGGTGTTTAGATCAGGTGAAGTGGCCCCAAAGCAGGCGAGTGGGGGGCTGCATAATTACATTTAGTAGTGCCGTTGTGGGCAGATGCATCTTTAGAAAAAGATATAGTCCCATTGCCTCATCCTTTGTCTTATTTTCTCTTTGTCGATAATTCATTAGTGCTGGAGACTACAGGGTAGGAAAGAAAGCAGCCATGAAAAATCTATTGTGTCCACAGTCTAACTAGCAAAGTGTCTTTGCTTTTAAAGATTAGGTCTTGTAGTTTATCTATGAACATCACTAGCTTGTTTTGCAATTTAAAGAAATCAAGCCTAAACAAACATTTAACTGAGCACAGTTTGAATTCGACAGTGTTGCAAAACAGTCAAAGCCAATGTCAGAGAATTAACATTAGCAAATGAACAGTTTAAAGAAATTGTTCACCCAAATGTTGTTATGCTTCACTCACCTGCATGATACTTTATTTATTTTTTAAGTCATTTTGGATCTTAACAACCACTTTCATATTAATTCAAACGAGTAGCCCAAATATTTTTGTGTTCAGTGAAAGAAAGTCATATGAGTTTAACTTTCCATTTCAGTTGAGCATTTTTAGGTGTTGCTGTAGGTTTCGGAGAATTAAGAGACATTTCAGGAGTCGTCTTTGAAATATTCAATTTGAAAAGAACTGTTCTTTTTAAATACATTTTTAAAATGTATTCCTGTGATGGAAAAGCTGAATTTTCAGCAGCCATTAGTCCAGCCTTTAGTGTCACATGATCCTTCAGAAATCATTCTACACTCTAAAAAATGCTGGGTTGTTTCAACCCAATGTTGGGTCAAAAAGCTAAATTAAAAATGTAACCAAAATTTAACCCAACAGTTGGGTTAGTCCATATTTGACCCAACATTGGGTTGAAACAACCCAGCATTTTTTAGAGTGTAATATGCTCAAATTCTTCTTAGAATGTCATTAACAATTCTTATTGTCAATGTTTAAAATGTTTTTTTTCTCTTAATATTTTCATTAAAACCATTATACACTAACATTCAAAAATGAGGAGTCAGATTTAAAAAAAAAAAGAAATTACTTTTATTCAACGCTAATGCATTTCTTTGATCAAAAGTGACAGTAAAGACATTTATTTATATTTCAAAATATTTCTATTTCTAATAAATGCTGTTCTTTTGAACTTTTTTCATCAAAGAATCCTGCAAAAATTATCACGGTTTCCAAAACAATTATAAACAGCACAACTGTTTTCAAAATTGATAATACTATGAAATGTTTCTTAAGTACCAAATCAGCATATTACAATGATTTCTGAGAGATCACATGACACTGAAGGCTGGAGTAATGATGCTGAAAATTCAGCTTTGCCATCACAGGAATAAATTACATTTTAAAATCTATTACAAATATTTTAAATTGTAGTAATATTTCACAATATTACTGTTTTGACTGTATTTTTGATCAAATTAATGATGTCTTGGTGAGCATAAGAGACTTCTTTTAAAAACATAAAAAATCTGAATGATTACAAGCTTTTGAACAGACTAAATAAATCTGATGTCTTATACAATAGCTTGAAACAAGATACATACAATATAACAAAGACTAACTGAATAGTGAAACCCTGGAAAAAAAAAAGATATTTATATGTGTTCATCTCCATGTGTTCCATTACATGCGTTGTTCCAAAAATGTATTCATATATGCATATTGCACATTTGGAATCTTGTATTAAAAAGAATGAAATGGATAATGCATAGTGCGATTTAAAAAAAAATAAAATTCACCTTGCTGTTAAGATTAATTCAGCACATTTTTTATCTCACTTCTTTGTCAAGGTGAGGCAAGTTGGAGCTGTAAATTAATTATTCCTCATGTATAAATATAAAAAAATCAGTAATTGCATACATAAGAAATATCTACATTTCCTATGGTCCTCTAGGAATACCAGCGACCTCTGATGGAGGCCGAGCCACGGATCCTCAGTGTCAGGAAAATCCGGCCCATTTTTGTCCGTCTGCGGGAGATCATGCAGTGCCACTCCATGTTCCAGATTGCCCTGGCATCTCGGGTGGCCGAATGGGACTCTTGTGAAAAGATTGGGGACCTGTTTGTAGCTTCAGTGAGTAGGAAAATACTTGAAAATGACTGACCTCTAAGCTAAACTACAGAACACTGAGCATTGTGTGTTATTATGCTTCTCTGTTGGCAAGCTGTTTCAGGTACTAATAGTGTTCTGCTCCAGTTTACTTCAAAAGCATAGCCAATTACTATGAGTGAGGATGGCTGTCTTTTACCAAAGTAAGTGTGTTGGCACCACTGGGTTGCAGGGCGTCTAATGGACTAATGAATGAGGTTTCTGTAGTGACCCTCCTCACAGGCAGCATCCATAAGCTGCTCTCATTATTCTTCCGTTAAAAGATAGAGTTTGGCCTGTCTGACCTGCTTTTATTGCATAGCACTACTGGTCTTTACAAAGTCCCTGGAGCACAAAGAAGTACCATAGAGAGAACACTTAAAGCTGAAGTTTCACTGCTGTGCATTGGAGAGCAGAAAATACCCACATAACACATCATATTGCATCCGTTTGCACAGTTCTTCTGTTATTGAGTGCATATGTACACACTTTGGAGCGAATTTAATGTGGTTGAACTTAGGGCTGCACGATATATCATTTCAGCATCGATATCGCGATGTGCACATCCGCGATAGTCACATCGCAGGATGTGCAATGTTTAGTATAGGCTACTGATCGTTAAATTTATACTGATTGTTTTCTTGACTCACACACAGACACGGTGTCTACACCGGACGCGACAGCTGTACAGAGATACCCATTTTAAATGCATTTAGTAGCGGAGCTACTGCACGCGATTTTCAGTGCTGGAAATCCATTTATCTATTGTTGAAACTTCCACGTCGTCGTGGAGAGCGCAGGTCACGGTTGCTTAGCAATGCCAGGCGCCACGAAAGGGCAAACTCCCGAGCGCTTTGGAAAGAAGGAAAAAGCGGCGTGACTGGCGTTTTCCCACGCGTTTTTAGGAATGGGAACGCCCCAAAGTTTGCATCTAGTGTAGACAGACAGCATCACTGATTATAATGAGTTCATTGTATTTTGTTGCGTCAGACCGCACCGCTCCCATCCGGTGTAGACACGGTAAGAGCCACGCATATGCACGTGAACACTGAATTCTGTTCACTTCTGCGTCTATTTGTGCCTGAAATACTGTGATCTGCAAGTATCCTTGTAAACGGAGTTGCTTATGGCTTAGGTGAAGGGAAACAATTGAGAAAGAAAATGGATATGTAACAGTAGCCTATATTGGTTTACAGCAGTTTAATGTTCCTAAGGCTTTCTGTGTTATAAATGTTAATCAAACATCAAAACGCAAAGAAAAATCACTTTTGTAGCTTTAACACAGATTTATTAGATTTAATTTATACAGTGAAGACTATGCAGTTTTATTTTACATTTGATTATTCAGTTTCTGTACCTGAATACTGTTAGACTAACCTGAAAAATATAAAGCACTGCTTATTTCATTTGTATCTTTGTTCTGTTATATTTATCTATGCTTGTAATTAGTTTATTTCCTATGCTGATTTACTTCCCTACAAAATCACCCCAATCATTAATTTTTTCAAAATAAACTATTCAAGTCATGTG